TATAAACGAGATGAGGGAGAGGGAAGAAGAAGAACCCAAGGCAAGAAACGGGATGTTCGGCGGCGAACGCAATCCAAGGCCGGAATATCATTCGAACGCCGGCGGTGGGAGGGCGGTGCCGTCAAGGACTAACCATTATAATGCATGGAATAACAGCTACGAAGATTATAACTACCACCATCGTAATGCAGGGGTAATTCCCAAATGGGGATTCAAGGACGCGGAGATGAAGAGACAGCGGCGGGTTGTGAGGTACAAAACGTACGCCGTGGAAGGGAAGATGAAAGCTTCGGTAAGAAGCGGGTTTTGTTGGATCAAGAACAAGTATCGCGAGCTTGTTTATGGCTACTAGCTGGCTTTGCTTCTGCTTAATTTCCAATGGCTACCCGGATTAGCATTTCTTGAGTGCGTGGGGGATTAAGAGGAGTGGGGAGGAGGAGGATATTTTTGTTCGATTGCATACGACGTCGTTTAAATGGTTTCTGCTGTTGAAGTAATATATATTTTCCAAGTATTTAAGGTCATGTGTATTGCCCTTCAATCGTAGAAGAAGACAGCTTGAAACGCATATATATATATATATATATGGGCATTAGGCATGCATGAGATGTGTATATATATATATATATGTATATACATCTTGTTATATATATATGTGTGTATGTCTTGTGAATCCAGATTCTGATCTGTATGAAAATGTACTGGAAATGAAACTTTTTTTTTGTGTGGAAAATTTCCGACATGAATTAGCTTAATTCCTTTTTTTTTTTAGTGGTGTGAAGCTTAGTTCAAATGATACATCAAAAAAGTTATACATTAATTAAAGTATTTCCTTTTTCACGTGCATACATATGCTTATGTCTACATATATATATATATATATATTTTTTGAGTATGAACCGGTGAATTAAGTTCAATAATTAAATTCTTAATTTTAGAATTCTAGACTAGTTGAGATTCTTTCTAGGCTCGACCAAGCTCATCAATCATGAAATTGCTATGGCTCTGATAACTCAAGTGCTATGGCAAAATATTGAATATTTATTTTTACCATACCGGGACATTGAGAAATATCCAGAAAGGCATTTAGTGAATTGGTCTGATTCTATCTCTATTCGATCCGTTTGAAGAAATGAAGGATCTCAAAAAATCGATGTTTCTTTTAGTTGTTGAATCTCTCTTTAATTGATCAATGTATGATATTCCGAATCCACATTACTAATAGAATCGAAATGATTTCTGAATTGATCAGAAGATCATTTCAATTGGCTAGAATTCGTTACTTGAACGAAACTAGATCTTATGAAATCGTATTGAAATATTTGACGATACATTTCGTACCTCACGAAAAAATCGATCATTATTAGTCGAATATAGAATCGATCCTTGCAAAAAATAGTCCTATATCAGTCCTGTATCAATTTTTTACTGTTGTTTTGCTACAAATGGTTTTAGTCGAACTAGTAGTATTGAGTTTGTACTAAATCTAATGTTTGCTACCCTATTTAGGAAATAATAATTCGAACCTTCTCGAGTATTTTTCAACCTATCTTACTATCTCAAGAGCAGTTTATCGAATCTCCTTCACGGTTAAGGTTTTGGTCTCCTGTTCGATTTCAAAAATAGTTCTCATTGTGTTTCTTTCATAATTTTCAAGCAATTATCATAAAAATTAGTTTTAATATTTTTCTATAAATGTTATTTTTACTGTATGTTAAAATAAAAAAAATATATCAATAAAACGATAATTAATTACATCTTTTCATACTCGATGAATAAAATGCAATCCCGAATAACATAAATGACGTTTTATCTGACTCTCGGGAGCATTGATCTTTCTCAATATATGCCATTAAAGCCTTTCTAACATTTTTCTAAAGCTTGTTTGAGGCATAGATAAGAGCCATTGTTATGATCTCTCCACTTCTTTTGACTCCCCACCATTGATAGGATCTCCACCTAAAACAAGGCAGGCTTACCGTGAAATCGAAGTATGCTATAATTTCTTCCCCTGCCGTTTGAATCTTGGGTGTACCAACTCCTCGTACTACTACACCTCTCTATGGCCGACACGTGTCGCGTTCGGGCATATAAAAGCCGTCTGTTCACTTACCGTCGTATGAACCACGTCAGTGGTAGTAACTACTGTCTACGTGCACGCTGCTGTGACTTTATCAAAACCCGGGACCACAACGGAGCTCCCCGTTTGGAATTTGAAATGTCTCCCTCTTCAAAGAGACGTTACAAGCTTTTACCCATTTAAATATTAAAAATTTAAAAACAGTTTTTTTTTTTTGTCTTTTTTCCGAAAATAATTATTTGAAAAAAAAAAAAAACACTGTTACCATCTTTTTTGAAAACTTGCCTATGGCGACTACTACTATAACGAAACTTCACTGGGTTTACTCTTCATTCCATTTATTGCTCTGAACTACTCAAGACCCGTCCTTCCTCTCTCTACACTACTACACACTGGAGACTCTTAATTGCTTTTTTCTCTCTCTCTACCGATGAAAGGAAGTAGCTTTCGGTGATAGGACAGGGCAGGAATAGAAGAGAGGAGGGGGATCCAAGGCGTTGGGTGTTTTTCTCTGTTTTCATGTGAGTTTCTTATCGTCTGATTTCAAATAGAGTTTTGGGTTTTCCTGCGTTAGATTTGGAGATGATTATGGAAGTGAAGTTGGTTGTTTTCTCGATCTGTTGTTGTTGTTTTTTTTTTTTTCTTTTCTAGGTTGGGTTCAGTTTCAGGTGTTTGGTTGTTACGTATTAGTTCAAATTGCCGTATGGGTTTCGAGCTTTTTCTGTTTGGCTGCTGGGAAAAGGAAAAGGGGAAATGGGGAATGTGATTGAAAATTTGAATGTTAGGATTTTCTATCTTGTTGTTGATTCAAAAATATTGAATTCTAAACCTAATTAAGCTTTGGAATTTTATGGCATTTATGGTTGATTTATTTAGTAGTACTTGGAATTCGGAATCATTCTCTCGTATTGGGCATGTAGTTAAATTAAGTGAGTTCTTGGATATCATTCAACTAGTGGCTTATGCAATTGCTCTTGTAATGAGAAACTTCTGTTGTTGAAATCCATTTGATCCTAGGCCTTAGTTTGCCCTTGGAAATCTCCTATTCATACAAGTAAGTCATCGACAGTAAAACCTATTATGGAGTTGGTCTTAAATTCTGCTGCCTCATACTTACTTTTCCTCACAGGAGATCTACAAATTATTTGAAAAAATCGAACTCGTCCCATTTTACTTTTTTGGTTTATGATCTTATCTAGTACTTTATGGTGCTTTTGTTTGATGAGATTACTTTATAGTCTTAAATTTCTTTTGAAGAGATTTGTTTGATGAGGTGTCATGGTATGGTTCTTTATTGCTATGATGGAAATGTAAGAATAATTGATGAATGAAGGTTTTTTTTTTTTTTAAAGAAATGAAGTTGTTAGTAACAAATTATTGCTTTAATTGACGTGCAGATGGGTTTTGGTAGGTGGAAAGAGTTGGATCTACTCATTGGTTACATCACATATGAATAGGTAGTCTTGGGATTTTAAGATAATGGGGTTTGACAAGGATAGCTCAAAAAGTGGAGGAGGCTATGCAGGAGGATTCTTTCAGCTGTTTGACTGGACTGCCAAGTCTAGGAAGAAGTTGTTCTCTAGCAAGTCGGATTTGCCAGGTATATTCATGTTCTCTAAGTTTAGAATTCATGACTTGAATTTGGGTGGTATTTCTCTATGGCTAGTGCATGTTAATCCCATTTGGTTATAAGGCATGATTACATCTCTAATCATTCCTTTTATAGTTAGTTCCTCCAATTATTTATATACAGTACTTACCTCTAATAATTGGTTACTGCTTTTCTTTGTTCATTTCTGTAGAGCGTTCTAAGCAAAGCAAGGAAAGTGATGGGAACTTGCCAATGACACGGTTAAATCTGGTAGGATTATGATCATATGATGCTACTTCATTTTGTCTCTGATTCTTTTGTTTGTTTGGAGGTTGTCACGTAGTATTCTAATTGTGCAGGTAGATGAGGATGAAACTGGAGTTGGGTCAACCATCAAGGGAAGTAGTGATTATAGTTGTGCTTCTTCTGTCACCGATGATGATGGATGTGGAGCTAGGGCCCCAAGTGTTGTGGCAAGGCTTATGGGATTAGATTCCTTGCCTACATCAACATATTCTGAGCCCTACTCGACCCCCTTTTTTGACACTCGATCTCTTCAAGATGTTAATTATCATAGGAAAAACGTTGATTATCAAGACCGTGATTTTTTGTTTTCGGGAAACATGCTCAAGAAAATTGAGGGTCCTGTCAGAAATGTCTTAGAGTCAAAGCCTCAGAGGACGGTAAGCAGACCCATTGAGAAGTTTCAAACTGAAATATTGCCTCCTAAATCAGCTAAATCTATTCCAATTACCCACCATAAACTTTTATCTCCAATCAAGAGTCCTGGCTTTATTCCATCTAAGAATGCTGCTCACATAATGGAAGTGGCAGCTAAAATTATTGAACCAGGACCCCAAGCTAATCCTAAGCCCAAAATGCCCCTAGTTGGATCATCTTCAGTACCACTTAAACTCCGAGACCTGAAAGAAAAATTGGAGGCTGTGCAGCAAATGCCTCTGGTTGGATCTTCTTCAGTTCCAATGAAGGTTAGGGATATGAAAGAAAAAGTTGAAGTTGCTCATAAAACATCCAGGCCTGCTGAAGCTTCTCGAAGGATAGTTGAATCAAGTGCTGCCAAGCAGCTGAAGGGACAGTCCTTAAACAAGAGCTGGAATGGATCAGAAGACACATCTTCTTTCAGGGCTTCTGACACAGAAGATGGTTCTTCTAGTACAAAGAATAGAGGTAAGTCGATATCACTTGCAATCCAAGCAAAAGTCAATGTGCAGAGAAGAGAAGGTCTGAATTCAAGCAGCAGCCGAAATTTAACAGCCTCGAAAGAGCAGGCTGAGGCGAGGTCAAGCCATCCCTTTAAGAGCCTTCCAAATACACAAAAGAATATGAGTAAGAACTCTTCTACACATAGTTCTTCTGGTGTCCTCAGGCAGAATAATCAGAAACAAAATTGTGTAATTGCTAAAGACAAGCTACCATCCAAGTCCTCAGCTTCCAACACACAAAACAGAAAAGTGCTGTCTGGAAATCCTTCTTCGTCTTGGCAGAAACCCTCCAACAAAACAGTTGGGAGCTCAAAGACAGGATCGAGGAAGTCCAGCTTAGATGTATCTAATGGTGAAAAGGGTGCTTCCAGTTCTGGTACAAAGAATGTTCCTAGGAAGAAACGATTGATTAATGGGGAATTCAATTATGAGAGAAGTCAGGTTGTTGACAATGTGTTTGCTGATAACAGTAAAAAAGCAGCTCAATCTAACCGAGTTTTTGAGAAGCACTTCAGTTGGGCAGATGATAGCAAAAAGGCTGGTACAGACATTGTTTCGTTCACATTCACTGCTCCATTGACACGATCAATGCCTTCTCCTGAAACATCTGGTCAGGTTGAAGGAACAAATGACAATTTTTATATGGACAATAGGGGAAAGAGAATGTTGCTTGATGCAAACAGTAGGAAGTTATCTGCACTGGGTTACAACGTTATTGGGGGAGATGCCTTGAGTGTGTTGTTAGAGCAAAAGTTAAAAGAGTTAAGTTGCAGAGTTGAGGCTGCACAAAATGGTCCAGTCAAAACTGAAACGAGTTCAGTTATACCAAATCTGTTAACTGGTTCCACTTCCTGGCATGATAAGAGAGACTGGCATGCTCCTCTTGCTGAAAAATCAGGCAATCCTTGTGACACGAAATTTTCCTCCACTGAAACTCCAGAGTACAGATTTAAACATAAGTTTCAGGTACATGTTATCCTAGAACTGTCTCATTTCTCTTTCCCCTTGTGGTCGGTGCCTATGGAGTCACACTGCTTAATTTGTTTTTTTAGGTCATGTTCACTTAATATTTCTCACTAAAAACTATCATTGATTTTTTTAAGTGGCATTCTTCATAAAGATCAGCCTGCTAAAGTGTCTAAAGCAGTTTTTTTTGGCAGTCTAGATTGTTCAGAAGAATGCATTTCTGGTTCATGTGGGTTTTCAGAAGTGCATTAAATTGTCAAGTTCTTACTAATTTGTGGGTTCTTCATGGGTGTTGTTCATGTATGATTTTGATTTGGGGTTGTGAGTCTCTCTCTTACACTCCTTCCCTCTTGTCAATGTTGTTTGAAAGGTCTTTAGATGGATGACAAATCTGCTTCTAAATTTATGAGTTATTCAAGGCCTCCTAAACACCGAAGTTCGCTTTTCCCTCTCTAGCATCCCAAGTTAATTTTGACATACCTTTCATCTGACACTGTTTGATGCTGATATATGACATATTCAGGGAGTTGATGAGATGGATGAGTGTAGCAGCAATCGTCTTGATGCCAGACAGTTGCTGGACCATCGACAAACTAGTCCCAGTTTCTATACTCGAAACTTGTTTTTCAACTGAAAGTTGCAACTCTTCAGATAGCACAGATAGTATCACTACCGGAGGTAAGAGTAGGGCTTTCTTTATGTTCTGGTTTTATCTCTATGCTATACTCAAAACTTCTTTGTTTCTGAATTTCTACAATATGCTTTCAGAAAGCAAGCATTGTTCATCTGTTCAAGCTCTGGAGATTCTTGGTTCAGTTCCTGCTAAGAAATCCTACTCCGTGGAAGTTGAAAGAGAGTTATCAGATTCAGCGTCTTCCACATCAACTGGAAGCCTAGCTAGAAACCACTGGAGCATGACTGTTTCGGCAAAAAGACCTAAATCAACCGAATGGGAACTGCAATACGTGAAGTTGGTTCTTTGTAATGTGGAGTTGATGTTCAAGGACTTTGCATTAGGACGTGCACGAGAGATCATAAATCCTCATCTCTTTGATCAGTTAGAAAGCAGAAAAGCAGGACCCGGAAGTGATGGTACCAGGTCTAGGCTGACAAGAAAGGTACTATTTGATTGTGTGAGTGAATGCTTGGATGTAAGATGCCGGCGTTATACCGGTGGAGGTTGTAGAACATGGGCAAAAGGGATGTCAATGGTGAGAAAAAAAGAATGGTTAGCTGAAGAAGTGTGCAAGGAGATTTCCGGGTGGAGAGGGATGGCTGATTGTATGGTTGATGAGCTTGTTGACAAGGACATGAGCTCTCAGTACGGAAGATGGGTGGATTTCGAAGTCGATGAATTTGTGATCGGAGTGGAGATTGAAGGACAGATATTTGATTCTTTGGTTGATGAAATGATTAGTGATATCATGAGAGTTTGATGAAGTGGACATGATTATTTATGTTCTTCATTTCAAAGTGTATGTTTCCAATTGTGTCTTCAAGAAATGCTTTTCTCCCTGGAGAGGGATATTGTATTTTCGAAGTACTCCGAATTCTTATATGAAATAAATCTTTTATACAATCTCCATATCTTTTATCTCCCCTTCTGGTTCACTTTCATTTGTCAATTTTCACTTCTATAGTTAAAATTAAATCACTACAAATTGCTGAAATCTGGCTAGTAAGATAAAAAAACAATAAGTTTGAGATCTTCAACCTAGTGAACATAAATAGGTTATCTTTGCAAGTGCATAATGAGCGAGAGAGATTCGAGCAGTTGGCTGGAAATCCATCTGGTCTGGTTTGATCTGGTTTGACGAGCAACTCGTGCTGATTCGGGATACTGACATAACATAGTATGCAAACTTGGACTGAGTATGGGCCTTGATGGGCTACCTAAATACATCTACTATCATATTACAGCATGTATGTGTTTGTGTATGTGTGTGTGTGTGTATATATATATATATATATATATATATGGCCTTCTGTGAACTGTTGGGTGCAAATAGTCAGCGATCAGCGAATCAGTTCATAGTCAAATTCAGAGGTTCTCGCGTGCTAAAATTAATTGCATGGCCATCTGTGCATGCAGGCTGAACCGTTGAAGTCTCTTTCTTCTTTGTATTCAACCGGCATTCCTCAAGGACTTAAATTAATATCTTCAGGGGCAATAAAATTATGACCACTGAGTGTATATATATATATATATATATATATGTATATATATATATTACTGTTAAGAGTAATTTTATTACAATTTTTTAATATAAAATAAATTTGAAAAATCTTTTTGTATTGATTATTTTCTTGATAAATTAGAAAATAAAAAAATTAAAAATATACATATAGTTCAATAATATTTATGCATCCCACAAATGTTCATATTGATTTTCACCGTGGGATTCAAAACCCCATTCCTGATCATAATTATTAATCTCTGAAACCAGTGGTGAAAAACAAGCATACCACCATTCTTGATCTGCATCATGATGATGATAATCATCATCAGATATCATCGAAACAGTTCTGTTACACCCTTGTGATGATCTCTGCAACTGATCATCGTGATGACCATTCATTTCATCATCACCATGATTTTCCACAGAAGCCATCTTTTCCTCGTGTTCTCCAGTTGCCTTGTTAACCCTAGTTTCTTCATTTTGCAGATGAATACAAGTAAATTTCAGACGCTCTAGTTCGTTATCAAGCCATTGATAGGGTTCCAAAGCTTCATCTTCTCCTGATTCCGTACTATTTTGTGGGGTAATACTCGCCTCCATCATCTCTGGTACACTTGCAGCTTGTCCAGGTACCTCGTGACTTAATGACATTAACACGAGCTTGTGATTTTTCATGGCTGATCGACTGGTTCGCCTGCATGATCTACGCTTTTTTGTGGTTGTCGTTGTTGGGATATTATTTTTGATAGTGTCGACTTCGTTGACTGACAAATCATAATCTTTATACCTGGTAAAATTGTAAATTTTTCTGCGCAAATGAGAATTCCAGTAGTTCTTTATCTCGTTATCGGTTCTTCCTGGTAAATGTGCAGCTATCAACGACCACCTATATATATATATATATAGCGATTAAAATTAGTACAGAATCAAATAATACAGTTAGAGATTCAATTAATTATATATTAAACACGAAAAGAGAATGTTATGACATGAATAAGCTCATAAATTAACTTTAAACATTACTTTTTTGACAATTAGATGCTGATATTTAAAGAGAAACACCTTTCATAATCGAAGTGTCGAAATGATGACCTAACTTTAAGTCGAAGAAAGCTACCTTAAACCTTATGTATAGTCAAGTTGATAAGAGTTTCAGATGATTTGAACACCTTGTGACGTTAAATTAGGCATATAGATTTTACATCTAATTCCAGATATGAACAAAACCAACTTTATGAAACTCGTTGTGCAAGTGTTTTTGTGTGTCTATCTATATATATATATATATATGAATGTATACAAGCAAGGTGCTTGCCTCCAGCTATAAATGGTAAAAATTAGAAGTGCTGGTAAAAAAGATTACCAAAACACTGTATAACCCAAATGGAAAGTTCTGAAAATTCATGACATATGCGTGCGTATTTGTGTATGTGTATGTGTATGTATATGTGTAGGCAGACTGACTTGTTTCCCAAAGTGCTACGCAACTTAACAATGAGTTGGTCTTCTTCAGCAGTGATATTCCCTCTCTTGAGATCAGTTCTTAGGTAGTTCATCCATCTAAGCCTGCAACTCTTGCCACATCTTAGCAAACCTTATTCAAAACCCAAACAAAATTTTTGGTTATTTCTTTTTATATCTCAGAAAAGTCAATACTTTTTTTTAAAATCTTACATATATGTATAACTATGTTATATATATATATATGTGTGTGTGTGTGATTGTATTAAATTACCTGCATTCTTGGGTAAAGACCTCCATGATCCATGTCCATGAGCTTGAATGTATTTGATCAAAATTTCATCTTCTTCAGCAGTCCATCTCCCTCTGTTCAACCCTGCTTTCTCACAACATGGTGATCTTCCCATCTCTTACACAGTGACTAGAGAGAGGAAATTAAAGAAGGTAACTTTTGATTGAGAGAGATTGAATCTTTGGACACCATATATCAATACATATATACATTTATCTTACACCCACTACACACACACATATATATATATATATACGTACACTCTGCTGTGGGTCTCACATGTGACATTTCCATACTGAAAAAGCAAATTGTGCAAATTGCATTAATGCCCACCATACCACTTAAGTGCTTTTGATGTAATTTTAATGTAATTTCTCTTATTGTCTCCATGAACTTTATATAACTGGCATCATTTTTTATTTAAAAGATTAGGTTCTTGAACAAGTAGGAGAGGACGTGATGTGTAAGAGAAAGCAACAGAAGATATATATGTACGTGAAGATATTTTTTCTATATACTTATGAGAATTCAAACTAATATTAGATATATATATATATATATGTATGTCATTAGTATAACAAAGAGTTGATTTTAACTTGGTTGAAGTTGAAGTTGAAGTAATTTTATAGAATTGAAGAAACTATATACTTTTACCTTTGAAAAATTTTATATTACTAACTCTATCTATTAAAAACATAACTGTCGATTAATGTTTCATTATCGTAACTTACTGTAAAGATCAGTCGAAAATTCTATTTCGGAAATTATTTTTTTTAGCCGAATAAACATAACGAATCTCCAATTTGATAAAAGAAAAACAAAAACCTTTTTCATTTTCCAAATAACAAAGTCAATTTTGTCAAGAAGAAATTAAAGTACAAAGAAACTGAAATTTAGTGGGATGTCATTTAATTCCTTAGCTCAGAACATGGTTTCTCTCTTTTAATTAGGGAAAGCAACTTTGATGTTTACTAAAACGAAATAATTGTTGGATCGGAAGTTCGAGATATACTTTTTGTGTATGTTTTCACGAAAGGTTTATATTGTGTTATAATTGGTATATGTAACTCGGGTAATGCTTAAACTTTGTCGAATAAATAATTATCATATGTTTCGAAAACATAAATAAATTCATTAAAAATAAATTAAGATTTATGGAATTTGTGAACTACGATGTACTTGAGCAACACCTAATGATTTCTCTTTGGAGATAAATACAGCCGTACGATGTTGTGTTTGAGTTATCAATGGTTGACGTTTGGTGGGATCCACTACATCGATATGTAATGTCCAAAACGACACAGCTTTGGGCTCCCTAAAATTTTGGAGAGTTCATAAATTTTGTCTGGCCCCCCCCTCCCAGTACATCATCACGTGCAAGCTTTAATCTCCTAACCGACCATAGCTAACGGCTTTAATGACGTCCTCTTTACATATATGCCCAAACGACGTCGTATAATTAGCAAAATTCGCAATTTAAATAATTATTTATCCAAAATATTTAAAAGGTAATTATTAAAAATAATTAAAATTCATAAAAGCCAGTAGTTAGAAGCCTCTTCATTCAATCATATAATGTATGCATCATACATGTCTTTTCTCATCATTGTAATAATAATAAATAACAAGTCTCCTCTGTGTATCAAATCAAAAAAAACATTTAAGGATACAATTAAGAAGTTTTTTGAAGTAATATATGTGTGTGTGTGTGTATAGAGATATATATATATATATATATAATGCAATGTTGAGTTAAATTTACAACACCATGATATCTATTGTTAACCCATGATTCCCCATGTTCAAAAGAAAAAGAAATTCTCTGTTAACACCAAGAATAAATTATAGATGAAACAGCCACTCACCGAAGATCAACAACATCGAATTTCAGTTTAGGGTTCATATAGACATGGGAACAATGCTCATATATTCGGCTCCCGTCCAAAGCCTCCTCGTGAGGATGAAATCCCCGCTGCTGGCAATTTCGGATCACGGACACACCAGCTGGGTCTGACAGATGAAATATGCCGTGAGGGCTGGATGCATCCGTTGGAGCCATTACGATTGCAATTGCTTCTGGTAACATAATCTGAAAAGGCAAAGTTGAGAAAGCAATTCAGTGTTATAATAAAATTATATGGTAAAACTAAGTCCACTATCTTTTCCACCTTAATCTTCTAACTCTAGTATCTAAAATAGCAGTAAACAAATAAAGAGGAAGTGACTTTAAGTATAAGGGCCATCAATTTTAAAGAGAGAGAAGCAGAAGCTAAAATATTATTAGCATCAGATTTTGTTACCTGATATGAGTAGTGGGTATGCAAATCAACTGAAGACATGAAACAAGTTTGCGTTGGGTGCGTCTGAAAAATAAAAATTAAGAATCAGACAAAAAAATACAAGAAGAACAGCACAAATTATCAGTTTACACAAAGATATGTATTTCAAATATCTTTCGCTCTGCCCTGACCCTCATTCACTCTCTTTTAAGATAGACCTGAATAATTGCTATGGCTAGAAGCCAGTAAGATTTTACTACAGAAGCAAGTTGATTGACTAGTCAAAGTCAAGGGCATCAAGCAAGCAAACATATTAACAAAAAATGAGTGACATTCTGCCGATGGCATGATTGTATTGTTTCACTTAGCTAAATATCATATGTCATCCATATAGACCTTTTCTAATTTTACCGAGATCACTAGACACAAGGAAGCTCAGCATGTGCAATTCATTACCCAATTGAAGCACAATAAGGAATTGCACATTCAACTTAAGATCCTAGGTAACCCTCAGAAATTGCCATTATGCCATCATCAATGCCCGGAACCTGTAACCAATATCCAGTATAAATACTGGAATGACTGAAACCAGTCTCACATGACCCTCAAACAATGGGAAACATAGAGCACCCATCTAGACCCATGAGAAAAACATAAATCAGTTCTCAGAAGAAAGCGACTGAAACTTCTGGGAAATTTGTTGGCAAAAAGTTTTTATATGCCTCATAATAGGACGGTAGTATCACAGCATGTATTGTCTAGCCAAAGTAAATAAAATGAAACTCACTCATAAGAGAACCTATAGACTTACATGAATCCACCCCAGGGGGAAAAGAGACAATCTGTCTTGAACTTCAAATATTTCTTCTTCATTTAATGTTTGACACTGCAAGTCAAAGTTGTGTAGTGCAACAGCAGTAACAGCAAACAAGCACAAATGAGAGAAAGCATCAACAAGATACACAAATATGCCTCATGAAATATCAATATATAAGATGAAAATATTGGCGAGACTCGGTTCTTCTGCTTAGAAAACACATTCGAAAAAAGAAACCTCTAATGCCATTCCATTTTGGAATGGAATATTTACGGAATTCATATGAATAAGATTAAACCTTATTCCATAGTATTTATATGAGGAGAAAATATTGTTGAATCTAAAGGATATCATACATTGATTAAGAAACACATTTGTTTTTCATAAAATGAAAAAAAAAACACTTACTTTAACATTAAATAATGTTAATATGAGGAAGCTAATTTGATTTTACATGTATAACTCACAAAATATAAGCTAATTGTATTTGAAAAAATGAGAGTTTTATCTTTATTCTTTCTACAATTTAATCAATTGGGAGACTGCAAACAATCAGATTAAGGGTGAGATGACATTTGTATTAAATGGCAAAAAAGTTCTTCCATGCAATTTCCATTTCCATCACTTAGTTAATCCAATACTGACACTCTCTGAAATGGTGAAAAACTTGTTGAAAACAGAATCTAAGTGTTCGAGAATTGAAAACTTCTAATGGATACCTTCTCATTTGTTTAGTCTATTTCCATCTTAACTGACAAGAAAATAAAAAAATAACAAAAAAGTAAGACTCAGAGAAGTGAGAATAAACAGAGCAGAAAAGTTTTATATATGGGTAATTGCTATTCATACCGAATCTGAAGTTGACTCCTGCTTTGGAATGATAAGTGTAGTGATATGGAAAACCCTGTTTTTCTACAGTAAAATGAAGCAAGATAAGTAAAAACCATGTCTGAGACTAATTTAGAATGATCTATTTTAAAGTAACAAATTACTCACCAATGAGCCAGCTAGAACACCACATGTTTCTAAATTTTTCCGTGTATTTTCCCGAGCTAACCTCAAAAAATCTTCCATCATATATACTGGCTGCAATATTTATCAAGAGAGACGAAAAGAATATGTAAAAACCATGTCTTTTCTTATTCTTTCCTTCAGAGATGCATCAAAATGTTCTAAAATGCATAAAAATGTAACAGAAAAGGAAACCTACAACATTTAAATGTTGATATGACTCAGTGCTCTGCGTTCCATCCAAAGGAGGCTTCGCTGGTCCAGGCCTAGGGTCAGCCACTTTTGAAGGACAAATTGGCGCATAGTCATGATGCAATTGAGCAAGAACAGGAGGAGGAGAAAGGTTGCTTCACACCAGCAAAACGGAAGGGATCTTCCCTTGCTTCATTAGCTAATGGAGAACCCAAATCCTCGACATGATGTGACCATTTACCATCATCTAGGGAGAGGACCGATTCCATCATAGATTTAGCCTCTTCAGGATCATCATCTTTTACAGTCACACTATCATATTGTCCAGATTGATTTAGGCTATTCCGATCAGTAAAAAGAGGAAAGAAGTTAAAAACAGCCACAACTTAAGCCTTGAAACTTTACAAAGTTCATAAGGAAGTTCATTGATTTGGAATTTTTAGTATGGTATAACCCAAAAGAAAAATTACAACTAAAAAACAGGTACAAAAAATGATTTATCTAAAGCAAATAGGTTTTCCAGGAGTCCTTTACCTAAATTTTCAGCGGGTACCACCAAGTCAGTATTGCTAGGATATTGGACCTATATTCAAGACGGATTTCTCAGTCATGAAATCTGAGAACCTCAGTTCAAAATAAATGAATAAAATAAAATAAACCACCACAAGCAGCAGAAGTTCGAGACTGGATTTACCTTTGTCTCTGCACTAGGTCCAAGCCACTGACCTCGAAGACCAGTTGGACCTAAAAGTGAGTGTCTTGATAAGGTTTCTTTCTTTGGAAGAGGTAAACCAAAAGAGCTGCTGTTTGAAGTAACAATTATCATACATCAATAACAAGAAAAATCTGTGAACTAAGTGATTTAAATTCATAAGCAAATATTTCATCTCACATACACAAGCTAAAATATCCACAAAAGCACCAGGACCAAACAGAGGAAATATAAATAAATGAAAAGCATGAAGCTGGTTTGGCAGTTCTTTTAACCACTTCCGCAAACACCAACTACATATAAGGGGTCAATCATGGGTACAAAGGAACTCCAAGTACAGCATGTTCAATTATCTGGGATACAATATAAATGCAAAATTCCTGGACGGCCAGCAAGATCATACTAACAATTTGGACCATCCTTTCTGTAATTACGACAGTCGTTCTACGGGAAAAAAAAAGGAAGAATTATAAATGACAAGGAAGTATGCATCTGCAACGCACAAGCATGCATGCACTACATGTGCCCATATCTCTTAGCCAAGAGGACAAAGAAAAATAAGCATGATATCATACAATGGAGTACAAGCCACTTCAAATCAAAAGGAACCCATGACAAAGCAATGCAAAACATCCAAACAGGCCATCGTGTAGTCTTTTTTCTTGCAAAGAACATTCATCTTGAAAATATCTTCTAATTTATTGACCATATGTTCCTACATGACAATATTAAAAAGGAAAGAAATACTCACAGTTTCTGGAACTGCTTGTCAATTTGCAAAGAATTTGAAGATGAAACCTGAGTATTACTATTATACTTCCATGAAGGTTGAAGAGCCAGACTGCCTGGCTGCAACCACAAAAAACAGAACATAAACCAAATAAAATCTCATGAACTTTATATTAATGGACAGAGAAATGACTACAAAAAATTATCACAACAATTGAGATATCATAATCTTAAAAGAAAAAAAAAATCCAAGCATTGCTGCCGTATTCAAGCACTAGATTATATTTAGGTTATTACCCTCTGAAAATCCAAGGTTGAGTAAGAACTTTTATTTGAAGAAGGCAATCCCATAAATTCTGAATGATGTGAAACCATTTCTGTTCCATTAAGTTGAGGTGGTTGCAATCCCATATCTGCTTTGTTAAGTTCATGAACTCGACGTTGAAATTCTGGTTTCAAATATTCAAGTTCGTCTACTATGCCACGCAATCTCTGCAGTGAAAATATGAAAAATAAAATATATTATGCTACCAAATGCAGCACATATATCAAGCATTAACATCTCGAAGTCTTGGAACTATTAAACCTGACCTTCATATAACTCGCTCTTTCTTTTGGAAATAAAACATGATAATCCCGATGGTACGGTATGGTTTCAGATACCAAACTGATAAAAATAACAAATAATTAGTCATAAGAAGTATAAATAGGGAATCACAAACGTAGAAACCATCTTGCAGCATAATTCTCTTCTCACCTTGAATATCTAAGAAGTATTATATACAAATCTACAATATTCTTCTCGTCCCGGTAAATACGAGCCTGAAAATGACAGTAACAACCACTTAGTATAAAAGCAAAAGCCATCCAACAAAAGGCACGCCAACAACTTAGAAAGCTTTCGATACTGAATTCAGTTCTGAAATCAAAGAATAGCTTAACATAGACCCTATTTATCCAGTGGTAAATACTTATTCAACAAAGTAACGTGGTTCAGCCCACAAGCTCCAACAGATATATTGTAATTTTTTTATAGAAGACTGGCAATAAGTTCTTAAAGAGCGAGAACTCAAAATGACGGTTCTGTGAAAACCTCTTAGAATCGCACATTTTATACTCATTTTGAAAGCATTAAAATGGTCTAATCTCCAGTACTCTATAGTAAAATTTCAACCAGACACCGTACCAAAATTGCTTTGTGGTTGCCAGAATTGTATTTTTGCTAGTATAGAAAAACCAACATTCAACTCCAATGGAGGTAAAGGTTAATAGTTAAACACCAAATAACAATTCTTCTCCAAAAACGAACCATTGAACTTAACAAACTTCGATTAAAAAGAAAAAGGCATTAAGATCACGATTAAGTAGAAAATTAAACATAAAAAAGGCACCTGTCTAAGGAGATTGTCGGCGATTCGGTAGTAATTACGGAGAGGAATCCGATTATCGACCTCGACTTTGCGAGCCATCGATTTCACGTCGATCCCCATCTTCTCCGACGAAACTTGCCGGCTTTTATCCTACTCCTACGCTTCTCTACGATCGCACGTATCCAGGAAATCAACAACTAAACGTGGGAGGAGAGCAAACACTCTCTGTCACCGTGCAGACTATACCCCGCGGAACAACAACAGAACGGGCGACGAAGGCCAAAACTCTGTCGTTTTGAGGAAAAGCAACGGAAGCTCCGTTTTATGTCGACATGGTGAGGAGCGCAGGAGAATTTTTGTTAGATACGGTCACGACCACTGAATTAAAATGAAACCGGTTTCCGTCAACCTAGGAATTTAGATATTTCTCTGAATATTGGGAGAATTTTGTAATTATATATATTTTTAAATTTCTCCAATACCTTTAATTCTTGATTATTTTTAAAAATAAATACAATCATAATTTACATATTTAAATAAATTATAAATTTAAACAATTTATAATAATTAAATTCCGGGTTATATGATATTTTTCAGCTTTCACGAAAATAAAAAATTAAAATTCGATTATTATCTAACATAAAAATAAATATATACTACGTTGTATTAAAATAAATATAAAATATTTATGAATTTAGTTACGTTGAATTGGATATTATATTTAAAGGTATTTATTCTGCTTTAACGATCATAGTTTTATTTTACATATTAAAGTTAATTTTTTTTTTTACTCAAGTTAAAATTGAATTATTTACGTTCAAAAAATTTGTAGAAATCCGCAAAAATTTCTACCAATTAATTGAAAATTAAACATAATTCACAAATTGGTACTTGTTTTTTTGAAAACTAATATTTATTGTTATATTTAATAATATTTGTTTTAATTTCATTGTATTAATCAAACAATTTTTACTAGAATTTTTTTAGTTAATTCTAAAATAAATTAAACATAAAAAATATTATCTAAAAATATTTTAGTAAGTTGAATTTACTCTTTATAAAAATTGATCGGATTCAATTTTAATAAAACTCGTATTTTTACTATCCGTACTCATGCATTCGCTATTATATATTTTGATAATTAATTTTGTGTGAAATTTAATTAATAAAATACAAATTTTTTTTGTACTAAAAAGTAATATTATATTTACAAATATGACTAATCATATAGGTTAATTATTTTTTTTATTAAAAAAAAAATAGTAGTGATAGTTTTACTTGTAAAAGATATTTTATGTTGTTAGAAGCCATCTAGTCCCTTCTTGTTGACAAAAGACTAACATGTAGCTTAATTTACTTATTGCTAATAAGTATTAATGATTACTTAATTATAATTAATTTGAGAATTTGGATTAAATTTTGTGAATTAAGGAAAAATCAAAATGCAACCCAGAATTTTTCTTGCAAAGATGTAGTAAGAGGACAAAATTATAAAACAAGAAGAAAACTAAGGGATGAAGGTAGGAAAGAAATGTATATATAACATTGGAGATTTTCATTCTTGGTCCCTTTTGAGAATTTTACATTATGCTATTTCTGTAATAAAATTCAAGTATGATCAGATCATGAACTGTAGCAGTGTTCATATGATGTTTACCCAGTACCTAACTGATAAAGTTCTTTCTTTTTTCTCCGAAGAAGTAACTTCCTCGCTGAGGACGGAAACTCTTTCAGCGAAATAACTTAGTGTCATCGGATACATCTCAAAGAATCAAAACAAGTCCTATAACCAACATAGCTCCAACCACCATCAAGCCTCCAATTTTTCGAGCACTGTTTTCCTCAAGTTCGATGTGCTCAGCCACATCGAAATTACCTACACCAGAGACAAAAGTGGTTCGATCAGCATAACCTATGATGACATCCGGGTTAGCTGAGAAAAGTGATATGGAGATTATAAGTGCTGTTTTACTGGCAATTAACTCAGATGATAATCAGGATACGCCAGGACAGTGAACTCGTAAAGAGCTAACCTCTTT